TCATCGAAGTCATGTATATCATCTAATTCTATTAGCAAATCTACTTGTTCACGGTGAGCAATATTACTGAGTTGTGTCTTATATTTAAGCGCTTTCTTGCCAGTTTCATTATCTATTGCTACAAAGCTCGTCAAAAAGATCTTTAATTGTTCTAAAATAACAGAGAAATTAAACAACTTGTTAGATGTGTCTAAATTATGATATATTCTTTTGTAGTGGTTAGTTTATAATATAAATACTCACCCCTAACTTTTGCATAATCCATTGATATTTTTGGTGGCATTGTTCTAAATTTATTTTTACAATTATTTTAAAATTTAATGTAAATATTATCTTTACTTGAACAACTTAGGTTCTGTTAATGCAGTATAAAAACACACACTATTCTTGGAGTAATCTTCCCGCCTAAACCGAACCGAATATTTACTTGACTGCAATATCCACAATTTTCGATATTCGACTGTAACACCGGTAATTTTTTACAATTCTAAAACATACAAATCTACAACTTCATAATTAAATACGGAATATAACTGCAAATCATTCTTTTACTTAAAAAGTTTTTAACATTTAATCTCTTAAAATTTTATCTTCATAATATATCTTTATGATTATCTTTATAATTATCTGAAAGTTTAACAAAGCTTTATATTTCTGATTATATTGCTGTTCATAAAGTTTTCTTTCAAAATTTTGCGTAAAGCTTACTAAATATTTAAATTGCATTAATATATTATATCTGAGAGGAAATCTCTCTGATTATATAAAGAATTTAATTAATAACATTTAAAATATTTAAAATGTTCTATTAGGTATAATTTAGATTTTACAGCTTGGATCAAATTTACAATATGGATATTATAGATAAGTCCAACATGAAAAATTTAAATCTCCCCTTGGCAAATCTCTGCACCACGAGCACTACATAAAACAATCTGTTAAAATAGATAAATAATAAAATAGATATATAAATCATATAAAAATAGGATATAAACCGGAGTTACAAATATAGTATGTATATTAATATCACAAGTGAAGTTAAATCTCTTTATCTTTAGTAACGATGTAATTTTATTAAAAATAAAAATTTATTTATTATTCGCATACAATAAAATAACGTTTTAGATTATGGTCACGGGATACTTGGGGTCGCATTGATCATTGGTCACTGATTCAATAACGTATATCAAAAAGAAAAAATAAACCAATTATCCAGTTTTACTGATTCATTCTTATTCGATCAAAATAAGATTGCGTTTGCGCGATCATAACCAATCACCGATGTGGCTCTAAAATATCACATTTCCCGCTCCTCGGAAATGACTTCAGTTATTGCTTGGTTCCTATTCTTTATATTTCTATGTTCATGATTTGCGTCACATGTTTTTCTTGATTGTATCAAGTATTGTAAAATAATAAGATGGGCAAAGCAAAAAAAATAAAGGTTTCTAAACAACCTAAAACAGCCTTAGGTGATCAAATAGAAGAAGAAAAAGCTGTAAAATCGAACAACAGGCGAAAGGTCAGAATTCGCCACGAAGATGATGATAAGGTTAGATTTATATATCTTCATTTTTTTAATACAAAAATGATTTTGATTAATATTTTATTATTGAGTGTGTTATTCTTAAAACACAGTAGCAATTCTGATTGATAAAGTTTCGTCTTTTAGTATAATTTGTCATGGAATAAAATATAATATTTTTAAAATTAATTTACATTTACATCGCTTATACTATAATAAATCATTTTAGATATTTAGTATAAATTAATTTTTAATATATAACTTTGATTGCAACTGTATAGTTTGTGGACCCTGCTCTTACAAAACGAATCCTATCTCAAGCCAGACGACAACAAATGGAAATTGAAGAAGAAAATGGAATTGGACAAAGTGCAAAATCTATAAAGAAACCATTAATAAAACTTGACACTAATGCTGAATTTAGTGATTCAGAGGAAGTATCAAGTGAAGATGAACAGGATACTGTACTGCATTATGAACATTTTGAAATAAATGAAGAAGATGAAAGAGCTATACAAATGTTCATGCCTAAGGATGCTGCCCCTATGAAGACATTAGCTGATATAATATTAGAAAAGTTAACAGAAAAGAAAACAGAAGTTGAAACTCAATTTTCAGATGCAGGCTCAATTCAAATGCAAGAATTAGACCCAAGAGTGAAAGCAATGTATGAAGGTGTTAGAGATGTATTAACAAAATATCGCAGTGGAAAATTACCTAAAGCATTCAAAATTGTTCCTAATTTAAAAAATTGGGAACAAATATTATATATTACTGATCCAACAAAATGGTCAGCTGCAGCAATGTATCAAGCTACTCGACTATTTGCCTCTAATCTCAAAGAAAAAATGGCGCAAAGATTTTATAATTTAATATTATTACCACGAATTAGAGATGACTTAGCAGAATATAAAAGATTAAATTTTCATTTATATCAAGCATTACGGAAAGCACTGTATAAACCTGCTGGTTTCATGAAAGGAATTTTACTTCCACTTTTAGAATCTGGAACCTGTACATTAAGAGAAGCTGTTATTATTGGATCTGTGCTTGCTAAAAATTCAATACCAACTTTACATTCTTCAGCAGCAATATTAAAAATTGCAGAAATGGATTACACTGGAGCTAATAGCATTTTTCTTAGAATATTTTTAGATAAAAAATATGCTCTTCCATATAGGGTTATTGATGCGGTGGTATTTCATTTTCTTAGGTAAAAATTTAAAATTAAGATATAATTTTAGTAATGTTTCAATTTCAGTAATAACATTTATTTTTAGATTCGAAAGAGATCCTAGAGAGCTTCCAGTTTTATGGCATCAGGCATTATTAACTTTTGTACAACGTTATAAGGGTGATATTAGTTCTGAACAAAAAGAAGCTTTATTAGGATTATTAAGGAAACAATCTCATCATACAATTACACCTGAAATAAGAAGAGAATTGCAACATGCTAAATGCAGAGACATAGAAATCACAGAACCCAAATTAGAACCTATGGTTTGCTAGATATTTGTACTTTATTAATTTTGTAAATTAAAACATTAATAGTTATAAAATGAAATTCATCTTTTTTATCATATGTTTCAATCTAACTTCTAACTACTGTTACTATACTTGACATTTGATCCATGAATCTGTACGCTGCTGAAAACAGAGTGCAATAACATGTAAATTATTAATCCTTTCTAAGTTACTTCAGGCAATAAATAAATAAGTTTTAGTGCAATCCAATTTTAAGAATCAGAAAAATTTCTAGACAATATATGGTATGTTGCAAATTTAATGACAATAATGGAATTGTTGTATATCAAAACAATTGAACATAACAATTATATAAATATAATAAAAATGTCAGCTAGTTTGCTATATTATTATATTATGCTATATTAAGCTATGTTCGATTAGAATTACAGAAATACAAAATTTTAGCAACTAATCACGATTACTTTTGATAAACATAGAGTACTCAATAATTATATTGAATTGGGTAATTATAACCATTTTTGATAACAAAAAGTTTATATAACTTACAATATTCCTTGTAAATAAATGTTACATACATAGATATATAAATTCAAACATTTGTAAATAATTTAAAAAAGTAAATAATTTTTCTTACAGATGAATATTTATAATAAGTTATTGAAGATTTTGATATAAATGAAATATTCCGTTATTTTGCTAAATTTTGTATAAAGATGTTCTATAAGTATAAGAAAAGCTACTAAAAAGTTGTAAAAAAAATACAAGATATAAAAGGAATGGTAATGGACTTGCAATTAGTACAAAATAAGAAGAGTTTCATAATTAATGTGATTTATAAAGTATTAATACCTGATGTCAAAACGTTCATCACTGCTATTAATAAAAAACTAATAATGATTAAAATATGTATTTATTATGTCACAAAGTTTATTTTAATGTGGCTTCACTTAGTGAATCAATCTAAGTATTTTCAATCTCTTAATTTAAGTACTAAGTATCAGTTCATTATGCATATTCATATCTGATTTATCTTTTTTTCAAAATACTTAAAAACTCATGTGTGTGAAATCGAACAATACTAATTTCCTAAATATTGTTCACTCCATATTCTTTCTATTTTGACTCTTCAATATTACTTTAAATATCATCTTAACAAAGTTTAGTTTGAGACAAGTTAGTATATTAACAAATTAAATTATATCACTTTGTATTAACATAAAGCTTATTAAATACTATTGTTCAAATTAGTATTTATTATTTGAATTTATTGAAATGTTTCTTTTCTTAAAATTTTATGACTTTCTTAGTAACTACAAAATACATGTTAAAATTTTTATTCATTTTTTTATGATGGAACTTGAAATATCTATATTAATATTAGGCTTTTAATAGAAACAAAAATTGATAATTACATCACATTAACAATATTTTAAATACATATACGATACATTTAATTTTTTAATATTTTACCTTTTTATTAAAAATGACTGATTACAATTATTTTGAGCAGTAAAAATATGCCAAACAAATACAAACGCTTTCAAATATTGACATATTTGACTGTATATGGATATACAAAATATATACAAAAATATTGAACTTTGAGATGTTAAAATCAGATGTTATTTTTGTGCTTGTACTATTAGATTAGTTTTCGAAATTACATGTAGAAACATTCAATAATACAAATTGATGAATGTTGAACAATATTGTACAATTAGATTTTTCAATTATACACAATCTCAAATACGGAATTAAAAATTTAAATAAAAGTTCTGATATTTTGTTATCAATAATGGTAATTAGTATATTTGCTGTAATAACTAATAGATTTTGTTATATTTAAGGCCACCTTCGTGATCCTTGGTAATTGATTCTTCCAGATTGTTTAAGATATTTTACAATGAATTTTTTTCCAATGCGTTATGAGTTAGACATCATATAAGTTTAATATTAAATTATCTATTTAAAAGTAATCCATTTTAAATTACTTTTTAATATATTTTTTAATTTAAAAATAATGTATTGTGAACACGACCAATACTTTTACATGTTCAAACTTGCTATTTTCAAAATTTTTATGTTTTTTACAATATATTTTACGTACATCCAAAATTATAATAAGTACTTAAATATTCTATTCCCCAATGTAGAGAGATTGCAACATATATATTAAAAAATATTTAAGAAATTGCTTATTGATTAGAGTTGTCTATTGGTTAAACAATTATTTAAAATATTTCAAGATATTTTTACAATGTTGTGAACCTGGTTCTGAATAACAGTGCTACAACTTGAGTGTATACATATTGCAATATTTGAAATTTCAAAAATTTTTATATATTTAGATTTCTCAAATTACCTAAAATTTATTTTTTCTTAAAGAAGCTAGTAATGCTCTTGGATCCAGCTGCTGCTTTTTGTCTAGCTAATTCTTTCTTACCAATTGTAGCTTTTTGAGGCTATATAAAAAGATACATCATGAAAACCTATGTTATAAACATGCATTGTAAGATACAAGTACCCTTTTTTAAATTACCTTTTCTAATTTAGTTGACTCAGGTGTTTTTGGTTTTAATACTGATTCATTTTCAGTTGTATCTTTCTTAGGTTTCTTTTCTTCAACAGTATCTTTAGGACTATTTAATTTCCGTTTCTTATTTTCTGATTCATCTGCTAAATTTAAATGTTGTGCTAATTTTTTTGATAAATCTTCTTGAAGATACTCTGATACAATGCCATGTGCATATTTTAAATATTCTAAACAAAAAATGAGTATATTAATACCTTTTTCCTAATCCCAACATAAATAGATATTGTTTTATCTCTGAATGTTTATTGAAACAATAATTGAATTTGCTATTTACTAAAATTTTTCATGCATGAAATTTATTTCATATCTTACCCACTTCTGAAGCAGTTTCAAGTTTAGTACTTTTAACATAAGTAGCACTAATAGCACCCTGTGATACATGAATGCCCTTCTGTTTTAATACTTCAATTACTCTTTCCACTTTCTTATGCAACCAGATTAATGCTTTTTCTTCATTAAATTTATAAGCTTGTAAAGATTCATCTCCCTTGCGGTCAGCGACTAGAGTCAGTTTTAAATTCTGACATTGAGTAAGACGAGTCGTTTCTATAAAATCTTCATCCCAAAGACATTGTTCTAATGGTTGTGCTTGTTGTGACTACGAGTGTAATATTTTTACTACTACTTAGAATATTAAACCCATAACAGTCAATTAAATCCCTACATTATGTCACAATAGATTAACATATATAATAATAAGTAAAATATAATAATGGAGATTTACCTTTCTTAAATAAGGTAATATTAAAAATATTGGATCAATAGGAGTAGATAAATGTAACTTTCCATCAGATTTTACATTATCATCTATAAACCATGACCTTTTATTTTCATCAAATGTCAGAACTTCTTGTACTGTTACATTGCCTGGACTAAATACAAACATTGCAGGTTGATTTGTAGCTGGATGTCTTAATTTAATAACATCAGGTACACCACCATCTGTATTATTTAAACTATCACCTGGAAGGCATAGAGATTATGTTGATCTATTTTATGAATATATTATTAAGAAATATAGTATAACTAATGAAACAGTAAGAAATAGGAAAATATTTAAAATTAATAAATAATAGGAAAATATTTATAATTATTAATAAGTTTAATCATCTTGGGTAGTGCTGGTATATGTCTAACGGTTATAAATAATATATAATAGAGAAATTTAAATACGAAATAATTTTTATTTATGCACCTTTCATTAGGAAAACCCATGTATTTGTGCCTGGATGTGAATTTGTTGTTTTAACACATTTTTTTGGTGATGCTTTGGTACGCGGCATATTTACGCGCGTTTTACACAAATCGATATTACGTTAGGTTATTTATTCCTTTCACAGAATTTTCCCCTTGTATTAATGCACATACACACAACAAATTTAGCGATCAGCCATTTTTCGTAGAACCCTCAAATTGTAACGTCTTATTACTAGATAATTGAAATATATTATATTGTGTATCTCTTTTAATAAATAAACAGGTTAAACGCGACATGCCGCCAATGTTGTAGGAAACAACATTTGAAATCTCGATGCGTAGTCGAACATCAGTGAATGGTCGATGATCGGAGTATTAGCAGAAAAGAGGCGTTACCGCGCTAATGAGCCATCTTTTAAAAAAGAAAGATACATGAAAATCGTACTCTAGTGTGAAAGATTTAAACTACACATATGTCATTTTTACTGATATGATATATGTATATTTAATTCCCATGTAATTTTGTATAAAACACATTTTAATGTTTACATATATAAAAATATATTGATAGTTTAAAAATATAATTTCAATCTATTTTAATTCAATAGCATGATTAACACTATATATTTTATTACGCTTATTATTTTTTCCTGTATGCATATATATATTAAATTTTACGTATATAGGAATATAACAATTATAAATATCCTCTATCCTATTATGTATATTTCTTTCACAATAGTCATATCGGGTAAATATATCTGTATAAAAACATCCACACTTAACTAACATAATTTTAATAAATTTACCATTATATATAAATAATTAAATCAGCGGGTTTCGTTATATTTTATATAGATGATCCGATTAAATGTTTAAATCTTATGTAATACATCAATATTATATTATATAAATACCAGGAAAATAATTTAATTATTTGGATGTATAAAATTTAAATTTTTGCAATAAGTAAACTATAAAAAATGTAAATTTGAATATTTTACACTTATAACTTGATACTGGAACTCCTTCTTTGTTGATATTCCCTTACACAGACAAAAATAATATTTAACTACAAATGAAAATAAAGAAATTTATTAAAATAAATTACATTGCATTCTTCTTTTTGTAAGAGTTGCTAATATAGAATGTACTAAACAAAAAAATTGTGAAAGTCGAATAACCTTCTAAAAATTATCGAAAGAAGTTGTTATAAAATTTCCAATTGAACTATAGTTATTCTATTATTATATGGGTATAAAGAAAATACAACAATATAATTTCAAACTTAAAAATCCACGTATGGTGTAACACAAATTTAGTAAACATAAGAAGACATACAAAATACATTAACTGATGACATTTCCGAATCTTGATTTCATAATGATTAAGTAAATATGTAAGAATAAGTATATACGTTTATACATATAGTATCCGTTATGATGTCATTGGAAGCATTGTGGCCTTTTTTCTCTTACTCATTACTCACGTTCTAGTTAGTAAGCACCTTGAAAGAACTATGTACGTATATACATGACGTGATGCGAAAGTGGGTGTGCCCATCATTGGTTAGCCGGCTATCAAACGTAAAGCTCCTCTCCGTTTTTATTTTTCGGAAACAGTTTATTGGTAAGTTTTTAAAAATATTTTTATTGTAAATACATCTTCATGCATATAAGCATAAATTAACATAAAAAATAATATTATAGACTATATTGCAATGTACAATATAGATATTTATATTATTCTTTGGTATTGATCAATTTAACTAACAATTATCTTTATTTATTTTAAGCAGTTCCCTGCGTAGTCAAAAATGTCACAACAACAGTATTATCCGTTTAAAGTAAGTATCTCTTAATTATTTATTAGAAGCTTAAAACATTCTTTAAATGACTGCTTTTAAGATTAGTCTATTTTTGGTATGAGCATTGATCGACCGTATTTTTATCGCTGCTTCGCTTGAGCTAATCAATCAGCGTTCAACTTCTCTTCGTATTATGAATATATATTTATAAAACAGTTTATGCTTTATTAGAAATTTAATATTATTAGTGTTATAAATTCTTTATATCATAATAATTTGCAATAAAGTACTTATGTCCTTAGCACGAATTATTGGAATATAGAAAATTAATTTAAATGGAAAAGAGTTTATTATATCTTATATATAAGAGTTATTATATCTTTCAAAAAAGATCTACACACACACTTTAGATATAAGTTCCATATTATGTTAATATAAAAAAGCTTTTTAATTTTAGGTATATATTTAAAAAATATATGTTTTTTGCTTTAATTCACTAAATATTGTTTTACTAAAATATATATATTAGACAAAAATTTGCATATTATTTAATGATAACAAACATTTTTCTTAATATTAATAAATTATATTTTTTTAAATTTCTTACATATCATAGTACCAACTTGTTGATAGCTTATAATAATGATTTAAGTAAAAAGATAATTATTATTCATATATGAATTGTATAATATAAAGACATATAAATCTATAAATATTTTAATTTATTTAAAATGATATAAAAGAAATAATCCTCTATAGTGTACTCCAACGGTATATCCTGCGGAACCATTTGATGCAAATGCAGATGCTACAATGTTGCGTAAAGCAATGAAAGGTTTTGGTACTGATGAAAAAACTATTATTGATGTACTTACAAGGAGAGGAATTGTTCAGAGATTAGAAATTGCTGAAGCATATAAAACTTTATATGGAAAAGATTTGGTTAGTGATTTAAAAAGTGAATTAACAGGGAAATTGGAAGATGTTATAATTGCTCTTATGACACCGTTACCTCATTATTATGCTAAAGAACTACATGATGCAGTTAGTGGATTAGGAACTGATGAGGAAGCAATTGTAGAAATTTTATGTACATTGAGTAATTACGGTATACGTACTATTGCAGCATTTTATGAGAACTGTAAGTCTAGCAATTATTTATTTTAATTAAATTTTAGAAAAATAAGTTTAATATAAATTTATATAGGACTATTATATAAAACATTTATATTTATTAATTCAAAAATACTTTGTTCTTAACAGTATATGGAAAATCTCTTGAAAGTGAATTAAAGGGAGATACTTCAGGACATTTCAAAAGATTATTAGTTTCTCTTGTTCAAGCAAACAGGGATGAAAATCAAGGAATAGATCAAGCACAAGCTATAGCAGATGCTCAGGCACTTTATGAAGCTGGTATTTATAATAATACAAACTATTTTTAATAAAAGAGGATTATATGATTATTTTTAATAATTATTAATAAAGTAAAAGAAATCTGTGTTTTGTTTTGATATAAGAATTATTAACCATAAGTAATATAATATATTTACTTGAAACATAATTATTTATTTTGGTATAGGTGAGAAACAATGGGGCACAGATGAATCACAGTTTAATGCTATTTTAGTAACACGTAGCTATCAGCAATTAAGACAGACTTTTATTGAATATGAAAAAATATCTGGTCATGACATTGAAGTTGCTATTAAGAAAGAGTTTTCTGGAAGCCTTGAGAAGGGTCTCCTTGGAATAGGTCAGTATTTTGTTTATAGAAATGCTTAATACAGTGTTCCCTGGATCATTGTAACAGTCATATTCTCAATACACCCTCATCATATTTTGCTAGATCAGGTCCTCAGAGTCATGTGACTGATTATTAAAGAAAACAGAGCAAAAAGTGCATAACAGAAATAAAAGTTTCTATCTCTTTCTTATGAGAATATTATCAATAGATGGATGAAGTCTTCCTAATTAAAATGAGTACAAATATGATCTTACTTAGACTCACTTTCATTGGAAAAACCTTATCTGTACGTTTGTAGTACGTTTATTAATGTCTAATAAACACTAGAAAATTTATTTTTGCTGTAGGAAATCTGAACAATGCTCTATCTATTTGTAACTTCTTGATTTTGAATATAATTACAATGATGTGTGGGAAACACTGTACAATGAAATTGTAGTATTGACATTATTGAACTATATACTATATATTTATGTTTTAATTTAAGAACTGTGTTTTATATAATTTAATATAAATGCTATGATTTTTATACAACAGTAAAATGTGTAAAATCAAAAGTTGGTTTCTTTGCTGAGCGATTATATGCCAGTATGCATGGTATTGGTACAAAGGATCGAACATTGATCCGCATCATTGTTTCTCGAAGTGAAATTGATTTAGGTGATATTAAAAAAGCTTTTGAAGAACGTTATGGAAAATCATTGGAAAGCTGGATTGCGGTATGTATTCATATTGCTCTTTCTTCAATATTTTATGATATATTATTAGTTAGTAAAGTATTGTAGTATGTTGTTAAAATATATTTCTAGCAATACACTGTATATATAGTTCTATAAATAAAATTGTTTTTAAAAAAAAACATAGAATAGAAGTAAAGCTTGATTTTAACTTTAATTAAGTAATGCGATGCTCAGATGATACTCATACTCATGAGATATGTATTACATTATCGATCAAACATTTAGTTCAGTATGTTCGGATTTATATCTTATTCATTAAGGTAAATAATCTCATAGATGTATAATGGGCTATTCTGTGTATCTAAAGAATTAAAGATAACTATATATGATTTCAAAAATTTTGCTCATAGTACTAAAATTAGAAAGTAGTAAAAATTTCATTCTAATAAAAATTTCTAACTGCAGATTACATCACATACAATTGAATATTAATGTTTAAATTAATACCTAAATTTTCTGTTCTAGGGTGATACATCTGGAGATTACAAAAAGGCTTTACTCTCACTTGTTTCTACTTAATTAAGAGAAAATATTTCATGATAAATTCCAAAGCTTTAATAATATTTATGGCTCAAATAAAAGATGAGTGTCTTGCACACTTTTGCTTATACTTTTGCTTTACATCAATCTATTAATTAAATATATGGGTATAAAGGATTGTGCATTTTACTATATTTTTTACACAATTTTGGAATCTCGGAAGAATCTTTATGGTGCTATACTGTGCTTTTTATGATATACTAAAATTTATTTTTTATGAAATATACTAGTTTACTAAATTGCATAGTTATATACTATTTTTTATTAAAAATGTTTATATATATATGTATATTTGACGATGAAAACCTACTATTTGTACAAATTGTTATAAAAAAGATCTTTATGAATATAAATATATTAAAATGTTAAACATTATATATTTAGTACGTTGAATATTTAGTGGCTAGCCGTGTTTTATAGATATATAAGTCTTGAAATATGTGTAAGTTATATCAGAGAGGAAATTTCCTCTCTGGTTTTATATATTTATCAAACATACTTTTATATAACATTTAATTTCAATATTTATAAATTTTACACATAACATTATTATAACATAATTTACTTTTAATAGTGTTTATTTTATACGTTTAAAAAATTATTTTATATTTATTTAAAAAAAGACAATACTTG